ACTGGACAAAAATTACCAAGGATAAAGAAAATTTGATCTAATTGATAGTTTTTGAAATCTATACCCAATAGCTTGCAAAATCACATTTTTTTCAAGTACATAAGGAATGTTCTCCAGGACAGACCTTATGCTGGGGCATGAAATAAAACTCAATCAGCCTCAAAAGATTGAATCTCACAGAGTGTGTTCTCTGACTACAAATAATTAACTTAGAAATTAGTAACAATATAAGATCTAGAAAAGCCCTAAATATTTGGAAATTAAACATTACACTTCTAAATGACCTATGGAGGGGTCAAACAGAGAGCACAAGTGAAAATAGAAAATACTTAAAACCAATGAAAATGAAAATGCAACATATCAAAATTTGTGAAATGCAGGGGCCGGCCTGGTGGCATAGCAGTTAAGTTCACGCGCTCCTGGGTTCGCTGGTTCAGATCCTGGGTGCGGACCTACTCGCTGCTCATCAAGCCATGCTGAGGTGGCATCCCACATGAGAGCAACTAGAAGGATGTACGGCTATGACATACAACTATCTACTGGGGCTTTGGGAAGAAAAAAGGAAAAAAGAAGGAAGATTGGCAATAGATGTTAGCTCAGGGCCCATCTTCCTCAAAAAAAAAATTTGTGAAATGCAGTACATAGAGAAAAATTAATAGCTTTGAAGTTTTCAAGTAGAAAGGAAGAAAGATTTACAACCATTGTAACATTCTACCTTAAGAAGTCAGAAAAAGAAGAGTAAATTACGTCCCACTTAAAAGGTATAGGGAAGAGGTATAGAAAAGTTATAGAAAACTCCATAGCCTAGCTAGTCTGCCCGGATTCCAATATCAGCGCCACCATTTATGAGCCATTAGGCCTTGGGCAAATCTCTTAACTTCTATGTATCTCATTTTCATTATCTGTAAGAGTGAAACTTATACCCATTTCATAGAGTTATTAGAGGAAAAAGCAAGTATAGGAATGGCCTATAGGCAGATGAAAAGGTTCCAACATCAGTCATTAGAGAAATGCAAATTAAAACCACAATGAGATTACTTAAAACCCAAGAGAATGGCTAAAATTAAATGATGGACATCAAATGTTGACAAGAAGGCAGAACAAATAACAGTCATACAGTGCTGTTGGGACTTTAAAATTATATAACCACTTTGGAAAACTCTTTGGTGGTTTCTTATGCTATTACACATACAGTATCCTATGACCCAGTAATTCCATTTCCAAGGTTTTATCCTAGAGAAATGTCAACATATGTCTACAAAAAGAGATGTACAAGAATATTCATAGCAGCTTTATTTATAATAAACCCAAACTGGAAACAACCCAAATGTTCACCAACCTGAGAAAGGAGAAAAAAAATTATAGTATATTCATACCATGGAATACTACTCAGTAATTTAAAAGAATGAACTAATGACACATAAAAAAATGGAAGAATCTCAAAAACATTACATCAAGCTAAAAAAGGTCAAACACAAAAAAGTATGTATTTTATTTTTCTATTTACATGACATTCAACAACAGACAAAACTAATCTATGGCGATGGAAATCAGAAAAGTGGTTCCCTATTTGGGTAGAGAGTGACTGGAAGAGAATTTTCTGCGTTGATAGAAGTGTTCTATATCTTTTTTTTTTGTGAGGAAGATCAGCCCTGAGCTGACATCCATGCTAATCCTTCTCTATTTGCTGAGGAAGACCGGCTCTGAGCTAACATCTATTGCCAATCCTCCTCTTTTTTTTTTCCCCCAAAGCCCCAGTAGATAGTTGTATGTCATAGTTGCACATCCTTCTAGTTGCTGTATGTGGGATGCGGCCTCAGCATGGCCAGAGAAGCGGTGCGTCGGTGCGCACCTGGGATCCAACCCGGCTGCCAGTAGCAGAGCGCGCGCACTTAACCGCTAAGCCGTGGGGCCGGCCCAGTGTTCTATATCTTAATTGTGGTGTTGTTACACAGGTGTATTCATTTGTTAAAACTCATTGAATTGTACACCTGGATGTGTGCATCTCACTATGTAAATTTTAACTCACTAAAAAAAAAAAAAGACATTTTCCATATGTTCTTAGAATTCATGTTCTAATGAGATAACCAGTCATGAATAAGATAAGTGATATCCCTAAAGTATGAACATCTTGCTTCTGGAATTAAAAGAATAATATAAATATTATAAATCCACCTCAGTGAATAGGTAGAGGAGGATCTCATAAATCGTGTATCATTTGAGTTAGGTCTTGAGGGATGCATAGGAGTTTATCAGGTGAATGGTGGGAGGCCATTCTATGTGGAGAGAATGCATTGTGCAAAGGCATATGAGCTAGTGTCTTTATAGTATGTGAGCTAAAGATGGAAAGGAGGATTTTAGGGACAAATTGTGATGAGTGTTTTGCAGTAAGCTGAGGCATTGGGCTTCCAGGACATAAACCCATAGAGATTTTTAAGCAATGGAGTGATTGATTAGTGTGTCTTTTAGTAGTATGTAGGATACCCTGGAATAGGGAGAAATTGATGCCAGTGTCCTGGGCTCTCAATGCTTTTTGAATGAAATTGTCTTGATCATAGCCTCTGCTTGAGTGTGTATTTTTGTTATCTCTCGAGTGATAATCAGTCCTGAATGACCCTGGAGATTTTTTCCGGGCTTCCTGGAAATGAGCTACCTGCAACTACTGCTTCCCCATAGTGGCAGCAGCTGAACATGGCCTCGCTTCCAACGTGATATCCAAATGCTATCAGCTTGGGGGCCGGCCCCGTGGCTTAGCGGTTAAGTGTGCGCGCTCCGCTGCTGACGGCCCGGGTTGGGATCCCGGGCGCGCACCGACACACCACTACTCCGGCCATGCTGAGGCCCCGTCCCACATACAGCAACCAGAAGGCTGTGCAACTAGGACATACAACTATCTACTGGGGCTTTGGGGGAAAAAATTAAAAAAAAAAATGCTATCAGCTTGGGAATGCGACTCCCCAAAGCAGCTGGTGCCCGAGCCTAGACTGTTTCTCCCCTACTTACAAGGACACTCTAATGCTTGCCCTATAAAAAGGAAGAGCGATGTGGGAGTAGGGTTCCACTTTCTGGAGCCCAAAAATGGTGCATCAAGCTAGCCCAAATACACCTCTCTGCAGCATGCTACCACCTTGCTGGTCTGTTTCAGAAGCCTCTTTGCCCAAAAGTCCTTCAAACTTGCCACAGCTGATTGGACCATGGGGTGGCCACCTAACCCAAGGGTAGTCAATCCATACTTTGTTTACTAGCTGAATTTATAGCCTGGAGTAAAAAGATGAGTTGCATCAATGACATTCTTCCTTTTAGGGAGATGAAATAGGAAGTGCCAAAAGGCTAGGCCTTCCAGCAGCAGGAACAGTTGCTGCAAGTGTCAAAAAGTAGGGCAAGGGCAGTGCGAGCTCAAGCCACGGATAAGAGAAGCTAAGGGGGAGCTGGAAAGAGGAGGGTGGGCCAATGTGCGGAGAGAGGCGAGAGCTCGGGAAAAGGAAAGGGAGAGCGTAGCCCGGCTCCAGGCCAGTCTTAGGTTTTTTGAGGGGGAGAGGGGTGGGGAGGCTTCCAAATTAAGTTTCAGATCCCATTAATTATTTCTATTATTCTTTCACTATTCCCCTGGACATTTTCTTTTAAGTTATATGAGTAAATTTTGTCCCTTGCTCTTTGTAAGCCTTGAGAATGCTATGGTAGCTATGGTTGTGGGCTTCTTGGAAAGCTTTCCTTCACCTTCACATTATAGTAACAGACTCTCATTCCTGGCCATAGGGAAGGAAGGTGGACATGTCTAGCAGGCTTTTGGAAATATGAGGCTAAAACTGGGGTGAAAGTTTGGGCTGGAAAGAGAGATTTTTAAAGTCATCATCATATAGATAAAAACAAATAAGGGAATAATTTTTATAGAGCACTTTCAACATATTTGATACTGTGTTTGGCACATTATATATATTAATACCAGTTTATTCTTACAATAATACATCTAGAGATTATTATCTCTATGGACAGGTAAGGCACCTGAGGCTTAGAGAGTTTAAGTGGCTTACCACGGTCACACGGTGGGTGTAAGTGAGGCTGGGATTCCACCTCCGGAGAGTGGTCAGTCTACAAAGCCCACGCTCCTCCAGCCACGCTGGGCGGCCTCCCAGGCTCCGGGAGGGCACGAAGTCCATCGTCTAGGAAGATATTCATGGTGAGAGATCAAGGCTTGGACTTCCGGAGCACTCCAACTCTTGAGAAGAGGAGCTAATGACAGAAAAGGGTAAGTCAGAGAAGACCCAACTACCATGGCGCTATGGAAGCCAAAGGCAGTGAGCGTTTTGAAAGGCAAAAGGGTGGCCAGTAATCAAATGGGTCAAAAACATCACGGGGATAAGGAGTGAATCGGATTCGGTAATCAGAAGCTCAAGCTCGACCTTGGCGAAAACCGATTCTGCTTATGCTGAAAGCAGAAGCCAAGTTTTAATGAGCACACAGTTCATGAGAATTGAGGGAATGGGGGTTGTGGATGGACTAAATTGAGCAGGTACTGTCAGCGGAAGGGAGGGAGCCAATAGTGAGGGTGAAGCTCAGAAGTCGGAGTTGGAAGGAGGAGCAGACATGCGGGATTAGCGCTGGATAGAGGAGACGCCTTTTGAAATAGGAAGTAAGGAGGTAAGTAGGGAGTCATAATTGGTCTGAGTCTGTGCATGTGTGAGAAATTGAGCCAATTCGTCTATTTGAGAAGAGTGAAATCTGTAAGGGTAAAAATAACAAGAGCAGCTGTAGCACATAACTAGAAATTCCTAAGTGCTTCACGAGCTAATTTGTTATCCCCATTTTACAGACTGGGAACGCCAGTTCAGTAACTTCATTAAAAATCAAATTGCGGAGGCCAGCTCAAGACCCCGGCAGCTCCAAGCCCAGGCTGCGGGGTGGAGGTCAGCAGCCAGGAACCCGCCGGCAGCGGCCGAGGAGAGGGCTGGAACTACACTTCCCAGCGTGCCCGGCGGGGCGGGGCGGGGCGGGGAGGGCGCAGGCTCCTTCCCAGAAGCAAAAGCGGAAACAAAAGAGCCTCGCCGGCGTCCCCGCCCGCACAGTCGCGCACACTCGCGCTCGGGCGCACACGGAACAGGCACCGGCGCCCGGAGCGAGCCTGCGGACGGCGAGCCGGGGACCCACCGGGCTGAGCCAGCCGAGCCGCCAGCGAGCCGAGCCCGCGACGACCGCACGCCCCCGAGCCCCGCAGCCGCCCCCGCCGGCCGGTGTCCCTGCCGCCCTCCCTGACCCATGGCGCTGAAGCGGATTCAGAAAGTGAGTGCCGGGGCCAGGCCCGGGGCGGCGGAGCGGGCTTCGGCCCCCTGCCCACGCTGACCCGGGCGGAGGTCCCGAGAGACGCGCCAGGAGGACATGGGATGGGAGGGTGGGCCGGGGCGGGGACCGGGCGCCGGAGACGCCGGCCGGGCCAGCGGGCGCCGGACAGGTGAGGCGGGAGCGGGGGCAGGTCCCCGGTGGCTGGAGGTGCTGGGAGGCAGGGGGCCCGCTGCGCGCTCGCGCCCGAGCTGCGCCCGGAGCCGTCGGGTGGAGATCCTCCTCCGTCTCCAGAGCTTCCCGAAATCTGTGCTTCACGGTCACGGCTGGATTTTGCCCTACACCGGGCTAGTTTTGGCCCCCGTCATGCTGTGATTTCTCTTCTGTGTTTCTTAAGCCCATCTTCTTTTATGTTCTTGCTTCTCCGGGCTCCCGGGGAGGGCAAGGAAGGTGTAGTGGGCCTGCAGCCTTTCTCCTCGGAGCTGTTGGGTTTGTTCTTTCTCTCCTCTGCGGTTGGCTCTTGCTCAGATGCCCGAATGGGCTGGAAAAGCTCATTTGGGGCCGAGAAGCCTCCTGCCCCTTCTATTTTGGTGCCTCTGCTGCTGCCACTTCAGGTCACATAGCTGTAGTGAAAACATAGTTGCTGATACACAACAAGATGACCTCCTGGCTGTGATTCATGGTGAGTCAAGCCAAACAGGTTTTTTTCCCCTCATAATAAACTTATATGTGAAGTTCGAGACACAACAGAAACTGCCACGAATTAAATTGTTTGATGCTTTAACACATGGGTATAGAATGAGGAAGAAATGTATACCGTATTCATTCAACAAATATTTGTCCATCCCAAGTACGTGTAAGGAGTTGTCTTCTCTTGCATAGTATTTATTGCTACTGTTTCAAATGTGAACATCTTACAAAATTGGGGTTGGGGCATTTTCGTTCTGTTCACTTTTATTTCTTGTTGGGGTTATTGGTCTATTCACTGACACAAGTTTTAGGTTCTACAGTTTTAGTTTATGTGGAGAACATTGAGAATTTGTTTTTTAAATGGGGAATGTGTTCAGAAAGTTATGCCAGCAACGCACAGCATGTTTTGGCAAATGATTTCAGAAGAAATCTATGCCTACCGCAAATTTTTATCAACATTTTCAGGCATGAATCAATAGAGCAGTTATAGAGATGTGTACATTGTATTCTCAGTCACCACTGGTGGCATCTTCTGGTACAGAGGACAGCAGCTTTCAGACCCAGCCAGTTTGTTTCTTTCTTTTTTGGTTTTTTTGGTTCCAATACTAAATCTGTGGATCACTGTTAATTTTTTTCTTTTTTGCCAGTTAAGGGTCCACTCACTATAAAACATATAGCTAATAATCAGCATTTATGATTAAGGTGTTTTCTGATTTGAAAATAGTGCGACACATTTTTTTCATATAGGTAATCCTAGTTTTGAAGCCCTAGTCAGCATCTTTGCCGTGCCTTGTATACTTATTAATGATGATGTAATACTGGCTCACACTTGAATTAAACAACACAGATTTTCCAAGGAAGTTTTAAAATTCCATTTCTTTCTTTCCAGTTGTGACAATTTTTCACAAGACTTTGCCCATAAAATAACTTTTAAATAGTGTAGACTTTGTCCACAGTAAGTAGACATTCAAAGAAAATGGACACTATTTGTATATACCATACTGAGCAATTGTCAATCACCATGCTGAGTCAATGTATTTGGCTTATATTTATATTTATATTTATATTCATAATATGGCATATGCTTAAACCATATTTTTAGTAGCTATTAGTTATTATTAATTTATAACAGAGTTGTCTGATTAAAAAAATCATTTACATAGAATCGATGTCAGACCTGTAACAAATTGATACTTGTGAGAAGAAACTGGGGATCACATAACATAACGTCTCTGTGTGTCAGTCTTTGTCTTTTCTGTTATCAGAAAAATTGCAGAAATCTTCTTTCCATTAATCACATGTTCAAACCATTCCCTCAAACTTTAAAGAGGGTATTATTTTGTTTGATTCCCCACTTTTCCTCCTCCTTTACCCACCTCCTTGATTAGAATCCAGTTCCAGGTGGGGTGTGCTGTTTGCCATATGAATAGTTTCTAAGCCCTCTTTGATATCATCAGTATACAAATTCTTATTTGAGGCTTGCATGTTCTAACAAAAGAAAATGCATATTAACTTTTGGCTTGCCTTTTTAAGTGTGTTAACACTGTCAGATACCTTCCAGGTCATTGGGTTGTGATTTTCCTGTACCTAAAGTGCCAGACTTGAGAGCTGTGTGGCACCTCAAAGAACTCTGCAGTAGTGGAGTAGAGGGCAGGGGCAGGGTAGTGTATCAGAATCCCCTGTGGGACATTTTCAAACTGTCCCCATAGCTGTAAAGGGAGAGATGTTGGATCTCTCAGATGGGCTGAAGTGGAAAGAAAGTTGAGACCACTGATGTTCTAGTTTACTCTCCTTATTATTCAAAGAAGGAATCTGAGGCCTGGAGTGGAGGAATGCTTTGTCCAAGTTAATCTCTTAAGAAATGATTTGGCATAGTTGAGAATGTTAAAAAAAGTTCATGACTTCACATTTCTTCACTTCATATGAAAAGATTAAAGATGATTGAGTTAAAATTATGTATAATGTGTATACAAAGTATGTGGATATCAACGCTTAAAATATATTTTTATACTGGAGTATGCTAAATGATTTAATACTCTAATTTAGACATCCAGTGCCAGTTTTGCATTTCAGCTCATAAATTTACACACCCATGCCCTATTTTTAGATACAGTGGAAGATGTTATCACAGTTAGCTAAATCACTAAAGAAAGGTAAAAAGTTTGAACAAAGTCTGAGGAAATATACCTAAAACACGTCTGAAAAAAGAGGGCAGTTTTTTAGCTAGGCATTTATTATCTGCTAGAATTAATTTCTGAGTGTTTTTTCTATCAATACTATTTTTGGTCCTCGATAAACCTGTTTGGGAAATCAGTTTTAAAATTATGAATGCTTTATCACAATACTGAATGTTTTGAAAATCAGAAGGGAACAAAAGAAAATCCTAATACAGTATTATCATCATCTTAGTATATTTCCTTCTAGATTTTTTTATTTGATAAATTGAAGTAATGGTCATACTAACATGATGTGATATGATAGGCTTGTTGCCTTTTTGGTCTATCTTTTGAAAAGTGAAACAGAAGAGTTGTGTTTTGCAAATATAGCAACACAGATAAGTATTCCTTAGTGTACAGCTCTGTTCACAAAACGGAATATATTTTTTTAAATAATTTAACTTAAAATGTATATATAAACATAAATTAAAATATAACTTTTTAAATGTTTTGAGCTGCTGGATTTTTTGATTTGTACAATTAAACTGTTTATGTCAGTCTAGAAAAACCTTGGGATACTTAAAAACAACCCAGCTCTCTGTGGATGGAGCATCAACTGGGAGAAGATCTGGTTTCTATTCTTGCCTCTGTGACTTACCAGCTTGTTTCCCTGTCCATACAATGATGCTGCTGATATGTACAACCAGCGTGTACAATATATAATGGTTACTCTCTACTAGGCACTGTTCTAAGTGCTTGACGTATGTTAATTGATTTAATCCTTAGTGGACCCAAGAGATAGAAATGATTATTATCCCCATTTTACAGATGATGAAACTGAGGCACAGAGATGTTGAGTAATGTGCTCAGAATCACATATCTAGTAAGTGGCAGTGCTAGGATCCCAAACCAGACAGTTGTCTCCAGATTCCATGCTCTTAACCATTTCAGTACATAGCTTCTCTTATCCAGATGGACTCACCTCTTATATCTATTGTACTTAAATTGAAGGACATATAGAATCAAGTGAGTTTATGGATGTAAGTGCTTTGCAAACTGGAATGTTCTGTACAAATATAAAGTGGTGTTATAATTAAGACCTTGGCATATTTAATCATTTTTACTGACGCATCACTCAGTGTGTTGATTATGCATTGTAAATCTCTGCTCTCAAGTAATGTACATTGGATCATTTAACATGGTAAATGAATAATATAACTTTGTTCATCTTTGTTACATCACTTAAAATTCTTTTCCTCCAAAAGGATTTAGAAAAATTGATTGTATTTCATTAACATTCTGTCAAAAGTATCATTTCATTATGGAGTTTTCATTTGTGAAACCTGTTTATGAATCGTTATAGCTGTTTAGTTCCTATAGTGATTTTGAATAGTAGTCAACTGTTTGGATTGGACAGATATATTAGAAAGACTTTCAGATTACAAAAATCTAAGACTCCAGGTTCTTTGAATAAAGAAGGATATAACTTTTAAAAAAATTTAAAAAAAGGAGGAACATAGTATTTATGCTTCTTGGTAGGTAAATACATAGTATTTATGCTTCTTGGTAGGTAAATGGTTTGCTTTGAAATGAAAGGAAGAAAGTGTTCTTTTTCTAAAAAGCCACCATGTGAATTTTTCTGCTTTAAATCTTTGTAATTAAGCTCAGTCTTCTTTTTGCCCCCAGTATCATGTATTTTTCTTTCTTCATAACAACAAAAGTATAAAAAGATTAGATAATCTGTTATAGTTAAAAAGTTCTGAGGTTCCTTCTCTGTGGAAATAAATGGCATAGATCTAAATAAGGCTGTTTATGTCTATTTTAGGAAGCCAGGCACATATATAAACCAAACCCAGCAGGATGTGGAATTGCCTCCAGTAAAGCAGGGTAACATCCTTACTTGCTTTAGTTTCCTGAAATACAGGTAGAAAACATATTTAATGAGTGCTGCTAATCAAAATGATAAGCCTAATACTTTTCATCAAACTGAGTTACAATTGTCTACAATGTATTAGCTCCCCTCCCCCACCTTTTTTAAACAGTGGATGAACTAATATTACATTTAATTAAAAACAGGTATTGAGATGCTTGTCCTCTCTCCTCTTACCCCTGTGAAATGCTAGAATAAAAGATACTAGAATATAATAACCCAGATTT